GACCTAAAGTATATGTGATATGAATATGAATGAACTTTGAGTACGCATCATGAAGATATGATGGATAATGTGATTTCACAAAATGGCGCCTGGATGACGTCACGATGACTTGATGACCTTGAAAATGTTCCTGTCACGTCTCATGATAATGACCTATGACTGTGCTAAAATTGAATCAAATTGACATAACCGACCTTGAGTTATCCTAGGAACAAAAAACGGGAAGAAATAAAAATAAATAATAATAATAAATAAATAAAGAAAATTCTGACGAAATCAATAGGAGGTCTGTTGATAACAGACCACCTAATAATAATAATAATAAAGAAAATTCTGACGAAATCAATAGGTGGTCTGTTGATAACAGACCACCTAACTAGAAATTTAATTCGTCACGAAGACGAATAAGGTGGTCTGTCTAAGTCTTATGATAGATTTGAGAATGGGAGAAGTTATATAGACATGTAAACAATGATGATCATGATGAACATGGTGATGATCATGATAGTAAAGGTGATGATGATGATAATGATAATGTTATATGATGATAAAAACGATAATGTTAATGATGATGATGATAATGATCATGATCATGATGATGTTGATGATTATCATCTTCAGACCATGATGATATTGATGATGATGATGACGATGATGAGTATGAGCATGATCCTGACATCTGATTGAAAAAATGAGGAAATATATTTAGATAGCATATAGTCTCAGCTACAACATATTAAGATTTGGTTGAAAACTGTTTTGAATAACAACCAAAACATTGGTCAAAACACACTGTCATGCAGATTCATGTTTTGAAAAAAGTGACCTCCCATAGACATAACACGCAAATATGACAAATTATGCATTGCCGCCTATAATCGAATATTATACTATGATGACGTCATCTAAATGATAATATATGACAAATTTCTGATAGAAAATTATCTCAGCTACAACATATTAAAATCTGGGTGAAAATCGATCACCGATACGTGAGATAATCTCAATTAAACAAAGACAAAAATGACGTCATCAACAAAATACATTTTTTGGAGTTTAGATGCCAATATTAAGACTTTGTTTCACTTTGTACGAGTCAGGGTGGTATGAAATCATATGTCCAACTCATGCTTTTTCCAACCATGATATAAAAATTGAGGGTCAATGGACTATCTGAAGAGCTATTTCGATTTTTAAAATGGGATGTTTTTGCCCATATATGCTATGTATTACAAGAGCTCGCACGCACGGACATTATCTTAAACGGACGCTCATTCCGTTATTATTGGGCAAAAAAAGGTAAACAATGTATCAAAATGCTTAAAAGAATGTGTCAGATATGATGACGGAAAAAAATTGGCGATTTTATGTTGCCAAATGCCAGGACACGAGAAAACGCGCGCCCATGCGCGTGTGCGCGTTTTTTTGCAAAATGCTTAAAATGGCCTAAAACGTATGCAAAATTAATTTGAGACGATTTGAAGCATTTTTATTTTTTGCGCGCGCGCTAACGCGCGGACGTACGCATGCGCGCGCGTTTTCTGACCTGAAACTTATTGGACGAATATTAAAACTAATCATGATAAATATAAATGAGAAATGCCTTTCCGTTATGAAGATATGATCATGAGTAAAAAGTACCCAAAAAAAACACAAAATGGCGCCTGGATGACGTCATGAAGACTTGATGACCTTGAAAATGTTCCTGTCACGTCTTATGACAATGACCTATGACTGTGCCAAAATTGAACGAAATTGACTGAACTGATCGTGAGTTATCGTCGGAACAAAAAAGTGGGAACAATAAATAAAAACTAGAATTTAATTCGTCACGAAGACGAATAAGGTGGTCTGTCTAAGTCTTATGATAGATTTGAGAATGGGACAAGTTATATAGACATGTAAACAATGATGATCATGATGAACATGGTGATGATAATGATAGTAAAGGTGATGATGATGATAATGATAATGTTATATGACGATAAAAACGATAATGTTAATGATGATGATGAGCATTAGCATTATCTTGACAACTGATTAAAAAAAATGAGGAAATATTTAGATAGCAAATAGTCTCAGCTACAACATACTAAGATTTGTGAGAAAACTGTTGAATAACAACCGAGATACTGGTCAAAACACCTTGTCATGCAGATTCATGTTTTGAAAAAAGTGACCTCCCATAGACATAACACGCAAATATGACAAATTATGCATTGTCGCCTTTAATCGAATATTTAACTATGATGACGTCATCTAAATGAAAAAAATGACATATTTCTGATAGAAAATTATCTCAGCTACAACATATCAAAATCTGGGAGAAGATCGATGACCGATAAGTGAGATAATCTCAATTAAACAAAGACAAAAATGACGTCATCAACAAAATACATTTGTCTGAGTTTAGATGCCAATATGATGACTTTATTTCACTTTGTACGAGTCAGGGTGGTATGAGATCATATCTCCAACTCATGCTCTTTCCAACCATGATATCAAACTTGGGGGTCGACGGACTATCTGAAGAGCTATTTCGATTTTTAAAATGGGATGTTTTTGCCCATATATGCTATGTATTACAAGAGCTCGCACGCACGGACATTATCTTAAACGGACGCTCATTCCGTTATTAAAGGGCAGAAAAAGGATAACAATGTATCAAAATGCTTAAAAGAATGTGTCAGATATGATGACGGAAAAAAAATTGGCGATTTCATGTTGCAAAATGCCAGGACACGCGAAAACGCGCGCCCATGCGCGTGTGCGCGTTTTTTTGCAAAATGCTTAAAATGGCCTGAAACGTATGCAAAATGAATTTGAGACGATTTGAAGCATTTTTATTTTTTGCGCGCGCGCTAACGCGCGGACGTACGCATGCGCGCGCATTTTCTGACCTGAAACTGACCGGACGGATATTGACCCTAATCATGATAAATATAAATGAGAAATGCCTTTCCGTTATGAAGATATGATCATGAGTAAAAAGTACCCCAAAAAACACAAAATGGCGCCTGGATGACGTCATGAAGACTTGATGACCTTGAAAATGTTCCTGTCACGTCTTATGACAATGACCTATGACTGTGCCAAAATTGAACGAAATTGACTAAACTGATAGTGAGTTATCGTCGGAACAAAAAAGTGGGAACAATAAATAAAAATAAAGAATAAATAAATAAATAAAGAAGAACGAAAATTCTGACGAAAACAGGTGATCTGTCGTTGACAGACCACCTAATAAAGAATAATAATAATAAAGAAGAAAGAAAATTCTGACGAAAACAATAGGTGATCTGTCGTTGACAGACCACCTAATAATAATAATAAAGAAAGAAAATTCTGACGAAAACAATAGGTGATCTGTCGTTGACAGACCACCTAACTAGAAATTTAATTCGTCACGAAGACGAATACGGTGGTCTGTCTAAGTCTTATGATAGAATTGAGAATGGGAGAAGTTATATAGACATGTAAACAATGATGATCATGATGACCATGATGATGATCATGATAGTAAAGGTGATGATGATGATGATAATGATAATGTTATATGATGATAAAAACGATAATGTTAATGATGATGATGAGCACAAGCATGATCCTGACATCTGATTGAAAAAATAAGGAAATATTTAAATAGAAAATAGTCTCAGCTACAACATACTAAAATTTGAGAGAATACTGTTGAATAACAACCGAGATACTGGTCAAAACACATCGTCATGCAGATTCATGTTTTAAAAAAGTGACCTCCCATAGACACAACACGCAAATATGACAAATTATGCATTGTCGCCTTTAATCGAATATTTAACTATGATGACGTCATCCAATTGAAAAATAAATGACATATTTCTGGTACAGAATTATCTCAGCTACAACATATCAAAATCTTGGAGAAAATCGATCACCGATAAGCGAGATAATCTAAAGTAAACAAAGATGAAAATGACGTCATCAACAAAATACATTATTTTTAGTTTAGATGCCAGTATGATGACTCTTTTTCACTTTGTACGAGTCAGGGTGATATGAAATCATATTTCCAACTCATGCTTTTTCTAACCATGATATAAAAAATGGGGGTCAACGGACTATCTGAAGAGCTATTTTGATTTTTAAATTGCCACGTTTTTGATCAAATTTGCAATATATTTTCCATAGCAGCACGCGCGGATTTTGAACTTTGACGCGCGCTCACGGCCTTATGAAAGGTCAAGAGTGACTGAAATTAATGTAAATTGTCATTTATGGTAAGAGGAATCCAAATCATGTAAACAAATTGAATTTGACTTTTTCCGCGCGTTGTGAGTGCGCGCACCGCGCACGGGGACAAGTACGGACGGAAATTTTTGAAATGCTTAAAATGACCTGATTCGTACTCTCGTTTAATAGTTAAGTGATTTTGAGCATTTTAAAATTTTGACGCGCGCGTACGTGCGCGTCATGACCTTTATGTGACCTTTGATGACATGACTTGTTGACGCTTGACCTGAAGTATATGTGATATGAATATGAATGACCTTTGCTTATGCATCATGAAGATATGATGGATAATGTGATTTCACAAAATGGCGCCTGGATGACGTCATGATAACCTGATGACCTTGAAAAGGTTACTGTCACGTCTTATGGCAATGACCTATGACTGTGCCAAAATTGAATGAAATTGATGAAACCAAACTTGAGTTATCTATGGCACAAAAAAGTGTAGGAAATAAAAATAAATACTAATAATAAAGAAAGAAAATTCTGACGAAAACAATAGGTGATCTGTCGTTGACAGACCACCTAATAATAATAATAAATAAAGAAAGAAAATTCTGACGAAAACAATAGGTGGTCTGTTGATAACAGACCACCTAATAAATAAATAAAGAAAGAAAGAAAATTCTGACGAAAAAAATAGGTGATCTGTCGAAAACGACAGACCACCTAATTAATCATAAATCATCAAAAATCTAAATTCTAACAAATAGTTCCCTAAACCACACCATAGTTTTATTAACCTGTTGTTCAAGTGGTCAGTATTCTACGTTGTGGAGCACAATTGTGAAGAGCCTTAAACTGCTGATTAGATTGGATATTTTTACAAATATATGAGAGGTTAAGACAAACATTCTACCTGCTGATGTTGTCTGAGAACAGAGTACTCCGGCATCTTCAGAGTGCCCACAGTTATTGACGCCGAGACCAGCATTAGAACAATCACCAAGATTGGTTTCTGTTCCAGTACATGATACATCATCCAGGATGATATCCCCTGAACCTATTCCGAATTGAGCTCTTCCTACCCCAATTCCAGAATCGAATCCAAGACTTCGGCAGACAACTCCAGCATCGGTGTCATCCCAGAAGTCATCACATACAGTCCCCCAGGCTCCACCGTAATAAACTTCAACTCTGCCTTCGTTTGCATCGCTTCCAGCAACCAGTCGTACTATACATTATTCGTGAAAAAGAGAGAGGAGGAGGGAGAATGAAAAGGGAGGGAGGAAGGGAGAGAGAGAAAGAGAGAATGATAGATGAGGGGGAGCATCAGTGTTCTATTAACGCCATCACTTTGAAAAGTAAAAATTTGTTACGGGAGGTAATAGAAAAAACACTCAAAATAAAAAAAAAGAAACGGAGAGAAACAGTACAAACAGTGTTTCATACAGTTATAAGCTATTGAAATTGTTTCATTTTACGATCGGTTTAGAACAGACTTGACGGTAAAAATGTGAGGGGGCTCTGGACCCCATATAAAAAAAATTAAAAAAAAGGCACAAGGAAAACAAAAATCTAAATCTTTTCACTCGGTCACTACGCACCCTCGCCATTTCTTAGATGCGGAGTAATGTTAATGTTACTTGAGACTGCGGAAACAATATTGTTTCCCGCCATCATTAAGGGGGCGGATAAATCGTTTTTGCCTCCTCCGTGATCTATATTGCCACAATTTTGCAGTATATATCTAAGCTTCTTAATTGATCGATCTGTACCCCTTCAATATCACCCTACCCTGCTACCATTTCCAGTTTAAAGGGATAGTTAAGTTCTGTTTTTATAGACCGCAAATGCCTTCAAAGTGCATGGTTATTGTTCTTATTCTCATCTATGACATTTATAGTGCCCTTTTAGAACCTACAATTGCTATGAATGTAATTTTAGACCCCAAAATGTGTGAAATTTAGCCAACACGATCTAACCAATTCAGCTCCACTTAAAAACAAAAACGAGGTGACCGTTAACTAATTATTTCATTAAAATCAACAATACTTGAGCCGGCTTATTGTGGGTAATATAAGCAACACGAAAATGCCAACAACAACAAAAGCCAAAATCGGCATTGGCTGAAATACGACGTTAAAGGCGTTATTTCGTTTTTTCAATGTTTTTTTTTCAATTTTTTCAAAATATCTAATATTTGTGGTGGTACACAAGTATTAGAAATCGTTATATTTCAGCCGTCTCTGAACCGATTTTGATCAAACAAAGATAATTTGTCATTTAATTACTACGTTCTTTCAAATTTGACACTCAGTTTTTCATTATCTCACAAAAAAATATTTTGTGTAGCGCCCTCTGCAACAGAACTCAACTATTCCTTTTATAAGTGGTGAAAATAACTGTAGATGAAGTGGTGCATAAAGGAATGTGAAATTAACAAAATATTTATCAACATTTTTTGGGGAAATATTATGAAATAATTATGAAAAAAAAGGAAAAACTAAATTTGTGATTTGGGGGTATATGCAGGTAGTTAACGTAGCTACATTTTGGAGCTTCAACAAAACCGTCGAAAGTCCATTCGAGGTGGAGCCCCAAAGTTGGAAGGGTTCTGACCTTTTTGGAACAAAAAACTTATGTTTCAACCCCCCCCCCCCCCCCTCCCCACCCCGTCATCGCGAAATCCTGCACACGCCCATGTTCGTACCTCCGTTTTCACATCGTACACCTGCATCTTCTGAATGACCACAGTCGTGGATTCCAAGACCCGCATTCCCACAGCCAAATATACTCGTTTCGTCACCGGAGCAAGAGACGTCATCCAATACGATAGATCCACTGCCTTGACCAAAGAAAGTAGTCTGGAAAGCATCTGTTGCAGCACCAAGTCCAAGGGACTCACATACTACGTTGGCATCAGTCAAGTCCCACCCGTCATCGCAGACAGTTCCCCATTCTCCATTGTAGAGTACCTCAACTCTACCCTCTCCTAGCGTGATACCATCGACAAGACGAACATCTGAAACGAAACAGTACAGCGCCTTTTATGAAATCGGTGTTAGTCAGGCAGTTGAACTATTTCACACAAAAATATTCTTTATTGTTTATCAATTCATATGTGCTGACATTTCCTATAAAAACAAACAAAACTAGAATTTAATTCGTCACGAAGACGAATAAGGTGGTCTGTCTAAGTCTTATGATAGATTTGAGAATGGGAGAAGTTATATAGACATGTAAACAATGATGGTCATGATGAACATGGTGATGATCATGATAGTAAAGGTGATGATGATGATGATGATAATGATAATGTTATATGACGATAAAAACTATAATGTTAATGATGATGATGAGCATAAGCATGATCCTGATAACTGATTAAAAAAATGAGGAAATATTTAGATAGCAAATAGTCTCAGCTACAACATACTAAAATTTGGGAGAAAACTGTTGAATAAAAACCGAGATACTGGTCAAAACACAATGTCATGCAGATTCATGTTTTGAAAAAAAGTGACCTCCCATAGACATAACACGCAAATATGACAAATTATGCATTGTCGCATTTAATCGAATATTTCACTATGATGACGTCATCTGAATGATAATATATGACAAATTTCTGATAGAACATTATCTCAGCTACAACATATCAAAATCTGGGTGAAAATCGATCACCGATACGTGAGATAATCTCAATTAAACAAAGACAAAAATGACGTCATCAACAAAATACATTTTTTGGAGTTTAGATGCCAATATTAAGACTTTGTTTCACTTTGTACGAGTCAGGGTGGTATCAAATCATATCTCCAACTCATGCTTTCTCCAACCATGATATAAAAATTGGGGGTCAATGGACTATCTGAAGAGCTATTTCGATTTTTAAAATGGCATGTTTTTGATGAAATTTGCATTATATTGCCCATAGCAGCACGCGCGGAATTTGAATTTTGACGCGCGCTCACGGCCTTGTGAAAGGTCAAGAGTGACTGAAATTAATGTAAATTGTCATTTACGGTAAGAGGAATCTAAATCATTTAAACAAATTGAATTTGACCTTTTCCGCGCGTTGTGAGCGCGCGCACCGCGCGCGGGGACAAGTACGGACGGAAATTTTTGAAATGCTTAAAATGACCTGATTCGTACTCTCGTTTGATAGTTAAGTGATTTTGAGCATTTTTAAATTTTGGCGCGGGCGTACGTGCGCGTCATGACCTTTATGTGACCTTTGATGACATGACTTGTTGACCCTTGACCTGAAGTAAATGTGATACGAATATGAATGATCTTTGTTTATGCATCATAAAGATATGATGGATAATGTGATTTCACAAAATGGCGCCTGGATGACGTCATGATGACCTGATGACCTTGAAAAGGTTACTGTCACGTATTATGGCAATGACCTATGACTGTGCCAAAATTGAATGAAATTGACGGAACCGAACTTGAGTTATCTATGGCACAAAAAAGTGTAGGAAATAAAAATAAATAATAATAATAACTAGAATTTAATTCGTCACGAAGACGAATAAGGTGGTCTGTCTATGTCTTATGACAGATTTGAGAATGGGAGAAGTTATATAGACATGTAAACAATGATGATCATGATGAACATGATGATAATCATGATAGTAAAGGTGATGATGATAATGATAATGTTATATGATGATAAAAACGATAATGTTAATGATGATGATGACCATAAGCATGATCCTGACATCTGATTGAAAAAAATGAGGAAATATTTAGATAGCAAATAGTCTCAGCTACAACATACTAAAATTTGGGAGAAAACTGTTAAATAACAAGCGAGATACTGGTCAAAACACCTTGTCATGCAGATTCATGTTTTGAAAAAAGTGACCTCCCATAGACATAACACGCAAATATGACAAATTATGCATTGTCGCCTTTAATCGAATATTTCACTATGATGATGTCATCTAAATGAAAAATGAATAAAAATTTCTGATAGAAAATTATCTCAGCTACAACATATCAAAATCTGGGAGAAAATTGATCACTAATAAGTGAGATAATATCAATTAAACAAAGACAAAAATTACGTCATCAACAAAATACATTTGTTTGAGTTTAGATGCCAATATGATGACTTTATTTCACTTTGTACGAGTCAGGGTGGTATGAAATCATATCTCCAACTCATGCTTTTTCCAACCATGATATAAAAATTCGGGGTCAATGGACTATCTGAAGAGCTATTTCGATTTTTAAAATGGCATGTTTTTGATCAAATTTGCATTATATTGCCCATAGCAGTACGCGCGGATTTTGAACTTTGACGCACGCTCACGGCCTTATGAAATATGAAAAGTGACTGAAATTAATATAAATTGTCAATTACGTTAAGAGGAATCCAAATCATGTAAACATTTTGAATTTGACCTTTTCCAAGCGTTATGAGCGCGCGCAACGCGCGCGGTGACACGTACGGACGGAAAATGTTGAAATGCTTACAATGACCTGATTCGTACTCTCGTTTAATAGTTAAGTGATTTTGAGCATTTTAAAATTTTGACGCGCGCGTACGTGCGCGTCATGACCTTTATGTGACCTTTGATGACATGACTTGTTGACCCTTGACCTGAAGTATAAGTGATATAAATATGAATGACCTTTGCTTATGCATCATGAAGATATGATGGATAACGTGATTTCACAAAATGGCGCCTGGATGACGTCACGATGACCTGATGACCTTGAAAAGGTTACTGTCACGTCTCATGACAATGACCTATGACTGTGTCAAAATTGAAAGAAATTAACACAACCGATCTTGAGTTAACCAATGAACAAAAAACAGGGAGAAATAAAAATAAATAATAATAATAATAATAATAACTAGAAATTTAATTCGTCATGGGGACGAATTAGGTGGTCTGTCTTCAAGTCTTATGATAGATTATAATATTTACTATATTGAGAAAGGGAGAAGTTATATAGACATGTAAACAATGATGATCATCATGATCATCATGATGATGATGATCTTGATAGTAATGGTGATGACGACTATGATGATGACGATGATCATGATGATGTTGATGATTATCATCAACAGGCCACGATGACATTAGACTGAAAAAAATGAGAGAACATTTAGATAGTATATAGTCTCAGCTACAACATACTCAAAAATCAACAAAAATCAAGCCGAAATAACGGCGATATTGCTCGCAAAAGACAAGAATGTAGAATCCAGGTTTGAGAAAAAGTCATCTCCCATAAGGATTACACGCAAAAAGTAATGGATCTAGTGATAATAGGGTAATAATAAAGTAAATATGGTTGTTTATTACATTATTTGCGATTGTACGTGTTTTAATATTCAAAGGAGATGGTAGAGTGAAAGGTCAAAAAGAAAAAAAAGTGAAGAAAAAAAATTGTTGGAGACGCCCGGACTCGAACCAGGGACCTTGAGGTCTGAAGTCAAGTGCGTTACCGATATACCAAAACATTTCCCATAGAGATTACACGTAAACGGAAAATGGAATTATCAAATCCCACTTTGTAAGTGAAATATGAGCATGATCCCGGCATCTGATCGAAAAATAAAGGGCACACTTGTGATAGCTTATTTTCTCAGCTACAACATACTCAAAGCTCAGCGTAAACAAAGATAAAACGACGGAGATATTGCTCGCGAAAGACGAGAATGTAGAATCCAGTTTTGAGAAAAAGTCATGTCCCATAGAGAATACACGCAAAATGTGAAAAAATGACATGCCTCCTTTAATCGCAAAAAAAACGCCATGATACCTTTGTCAAAATGAAATTTTGTGGTGACTGTATTTGTAGAGAATATTCTCAGGTAGAACATATCCCAATTCGAAAGAAAATTGATCAATATTTACAGAGATACAATCAATTTTCCAAAAATCTGCTGACGTCATAATATGCAAATTAAAATTATGAGTTCGGAGGCCATTATGATGACGTCATGAGTTAATTGAGGGTCAAATGACACATGAAATCATATCTCCAACTCATGCTTTTTCTAACCATGATATAAAAGTTGGGGTCAATTGACTATCTGAAGAGCTATTTCGATTTTTAAAATGGGATGTTTTTGATCAAATTTGCATTATATTGCCCATAGCAGCACGCGCAGATTTGAACTTTGACGCGCACTCACGGCCTTATGAAAGGTCAAGAGTGACTGAAATTAATGTAAATTGTCATTTACGGTAAGAGGAATCTAAATCATGTAACAAAATTGAATTTGACCTTTTCCGCGCGTTATGAGCGCGCGCAACGCGCGCGGTGACACGTACGGACGGAAAATTTTGAAATGCTTAAAATGACCTGATTCGTACTCTCCTTTAATAGTTAAGTGATTTTGAGCATTTTAAAATTTTGACGCGCGCGTACGTGCGGGTCATGACCTTTATGTGACCTTTGATGACATGACTTGTTGACCCTTGACCTGAAGTATATGTGATATGAATATGAATGACCTTTGCTCATGCATCATGAAGATATGATGGATAACGTGATTTAACAAAATGGCGCCTGGATGACGTCACGATGACCTGATGACCTTGAAAAGGTTACTGTCACGTCTCATGACAATGACCTATGACTGTGTAAAAATTGAAAGAAATTAACACAACCGATCTTGAGTTAACCGATGAACAAAAAACGGGGAGAAATAAAAATAAATAATAATAATAATAAACTAGAAATTTAATAATAATAATAATAATAAAGTAATTTTTATATAGCGCATAATAATAAATTCTCTATGCGCTTTACAACAATCAAATATACAATAAATTACATGATTGATCTAAAGATTTAATTATACATGAATTAACAGAAATACATGGGGACGAATTAGGTGGTCTGTCTTCAAGTCTTATGAGAGATTATAATATTTACTATATTGAGAAAGGGAGAAGTTATATAGACATGTAAACAATGATGATCATCATGATGATCATGATGATCATGATCTTGATAGTAATGGGGATGACGATGATGATGATCATGATGATCATGATGATGTTGATGATTATCATCAACAGACCACGATGACATCAGACTGAACAAAATTAGAGAAGATTTAGATAGCGTATAGTCTCAGCAACAACATACTCAAAAATCAACAAAAACCAAGCAGAAATAACAGCGATATTGCTCGCAAAAGACAAGAATGTAGAATCCAGATTTGAGAAAAAGTCATCTCCCATAAGGATTACACGCCAAAAGTAATGGATCTAGTGATAATAGGGTAATAATAAAGTAAATATGGTTGTTTATTACATTATTTGCAATTGTACGTGTTTTAATATTCAAAGGAGATGGTAGAGTGAAAGGTCAAAAAGAAAAAAAAGTGAAGAAAAAAAATTGTTGGAGACGCCCGGACTCGAACCAGGGACCTCGAGGTCGGAAGTCAAGTGCGTTACCGATATACCAAAACATTTCCCATAGAGATTACACGTAAACGGAAAATGGAATTATCAAATCCCACTTTGTATGTGAGATATGAGCATGATCCCGGCATCTGATCGAGAAATAAAGGGCACACTTGTGATAGCTTATTGTCTCAGCTACAACACACTCAAAGCTCAGCGTAAACAAAGATAAAACGACGGAGATATGGCTCGCGAAAGACGAGAATGTAGAATCCAGTTTTGAGAAAAAGTCATGTCCCATAGAGAATACACGCAAAATGTGAAAAATTGACATGCCTCCTTTAATCGCAAAAATACGCCATGATACCATTGTCAAAATGAAATATCGTGGTGACTGCTTTTGTAGAGAATATTCTCAGGTAGAACATATCAAAATTTGAAAGAAAATTGATCAATATTTACAGAGATACAATCAATTTTCCAAAAATCTGCTGACGTCATAATATGCAAATTAAAATTTTGAGTTCGGAGGCCATTATGATGACGTCATGAGTTAATTGAGGGTCAAATTACACATGAAATCATATCTCCAACTCATGCTTTTTCCAACCATGATATAAAAGTTGGGATCAATTGATTATCTGAAGAGCTATTTTGATTCTTAAAATGTCATGTTTTTGATCAAATTTGCATTATATTTCCCATAGCAGCACGCGCGGATTTTGAACTTTGACGCGCGCTCACGGCCTTATGAAAGGTCAAGGGTGACTGAAATTAATGTCAATTGTCATTTACGGTAAGAGGAATCTAAATCATGTAAAAAAAAATGAATTTGACCTTTTCCGCGCGTCGTGAGCGCGCGCAACGCGCGCGGGGACACTTACGGACGGAAAATTTTGAAATGCTTAAAATGACCTGATTCGTACTCTTCTTTAATAGTTAAGTGATTTTGAGCATTTTTAAATTTTGACGCGCGCGTACGTGCGCGTCATGACCTTTTTGTGACCTTTGATGACATGACTTGTTGACCCTTGACTTGAAGTATATGTGATATGAATATGAATGACCTTTGCTTATGCATCATGAAGATATGATGGATAACGTGATTTCACAAAATGGCGCCTGGATGACGTCATGATGACCTGATGACCTTGAAAAGGTTACTGTCACGTCTCATGACAATGACCTATGACTGTGTCAAAATTGAAAGAAATTAACACAACCGATCTTGAGTTAACCGATGAACAAAAAACGGGGAGAAATAAAAATAAATAATAATTGTTCCAACGAAGCCAACTCCAGCTGTGAAAAATAAACCTGCTCAGGGATCTCAACTACAGGTAAGGCTAGAAAATGTATTACTACAAGGCATCTACTCCTTTTCATTCCATTTAAATATGGCCATCATTAAAATGACCAGATTTGAATAGATCATCCCTAGCAGTAGAGAGCTTTCTTAATGTTTGAATTAATCAGCTTTTACTCCTCAAATTGGCAATAGTTATTTTCATTTTACATTGTAAAATAGTTTGAAAAAAAAAAAAAACTACATGAACCAGAATGGTAATTGCAAAATTTAATTTAATGTGTAATTAAATTGTTTGCTTATAAATTAAAGTCATTATCAATAGTGTTGCAGGCATCGCATGAAGTTTTTAAACTTGTCTTGTCCTACAGGAAAAGCCTCCTCACCAAACCAAGATGACTGCACAACTCCAAGCATTCCGCATTCCCAAGAAGGTGTCTGCAGATCCACCACATGTGAGCAAACCTGCCCAGTCTCAGACCCAAGTGAGTACAAAAGTTGATCATATATACAGGGTGACAGTTAAATATGTACCTTTTCATCATTTATTCTTTCTTATTTTTAGTTCATTTACTTGTTAGCTCTTTGTCTTCCAATCATCTTCACTCCGCTGTTCAGTTTACAGATATAAACATTTATTCAATAATGCTAGTCATGTGCCAAGATTCCAAATGTAGTGTATCTTTTAATTGTAAACAGTGTCAGTAGTCTTATTTCTTTGTCATATGGTAATCAATAATTTTTCTTCCTCCCAGGTTCAACTTCAAGCACCACAGCCACAACACAGTAGACCATCTTCAAGCTGTACTACTCGGGGAAAAACGACAAGCGAGGGACACTTCGGATACACCTAGCAAGAAGCAGAAGACTGGGAAAGTTGTCGGCAAGGCAACAAGCTCAACAGTGCTAAAGGCTGGAACTTCCAGTCATCCCAGTACGATTTCTAGTAAAATGACTGGAAATGAAAAAAAACAAGATGTCGAGGAAAGAAGAAAACAAGACAGACAGTAAAGGATGAAACAAGACAGGAAAGAATTCTGAAGTCATTGCACTCAAACCCAATATTAGCCATTGCACATTTTCTCAGCCACAGCATCATTGCGTCTTCCAGACGAGAAGTCCTCTGATACACAAGCTGAAAGGAATACGAGAAAGTCTACTGCGTGACTTGTACAGCCAATTGTAGCTCCACAAGCAATCATTGCAGCCACAGACTTGACCCTTCTGGACTACAAGAACAAAGAGAATCTTCGTGAAGAATCTGAAATGGTCATAGGAAGCGCAACAAGAGAAATTGTGAACACTTTAGATGAGTCTGATTGCCATAAGTTTTATGCAGCAGTGCGTTCATATTACACCAAGGCATGTGACTACATTGTAAGTAAGTTTCCATTCAAGTCTGATGTTCTCATCCATGTGCAAGTGGCTGACATTGCATGTCAGAAGGATGCCAAATTCACTTCTCTAAAGTTCTTCATCAACAAGTTCCCCTGCATGCTGCTTCAGGAAGAAGAAGACAAGCACAGTGCCCTAGATGCTCTGGAGAACCAGTTTCTTATCTATCAACTTGCTCAGCTTCCGTACTTAGTGCAAAATGAGGAATCTACTGACAAGCAGTGGACAGATGACAGAGAAGAATGCTTCTGGTGAACTGTGCTATGACAGACTTGCAAGAGTAATGCTTGGGATTCTAACCATACCCCATACCAATGCTGAATGTGAAAGGGTCTTCAGTCAGGTGCGAAAGAACAAAACTGACTTCAGAGGGTCCATGAGCAACGAAACTCTAGAAAGTGTCCTTATTACCAAGGCTCGTCAAACAACACCCTGCTACATGAGGGAATGTGACTCTGATTTTCCGAAGAGAGCAAAATCTGCAACATACAGAGCTCTAAATGAGTAGTATGGGAGAGTAGATGTAAGTGTCAGGAAAGGCAGGTAAACCTGTGTTTTTCTCAGAACTCATTTTTCTAATTACTCAACTACCCATTTTAAAAGGTTGAATTTTATGGGAAATGGTCCCTAAAATAGGCTCAGAGTGCACCAGAGAGCATCTAGTACCCCGGCTAAAGAGACTTCGCGCTCGTGATGTGCGCTATGCGCACATGATATTCAGTTTTACTTTAAATGTTACTAATTGAAAATTCCAAATGTTGGCAGCTATGCCAGGCCAAGGTAGTTGCTTGAAAGAGGACTTTTGTCTTGGCTTCTTTCGATTTGCAAAGTGAATGTGGCTGCAACGTTACTCTATGCCATCCAGAACACACATCTCAAAGTCATCGCACACAATTTTCTGGAGAGTGGGCATTCCCACATGGAATGCAATAGCATGCATTCTGCTATTGAAACAGAAAAAAAGAACATCAATGTCTTCACAATGCATGACTGGGTAAAAAATCTTCCACAAATTAAGACGTCGGCTTCCATACAAGGTCATAAACATGTGCCATGGAGACTTTTATGATCTGAAAAAACTCTCACAGCAGATCATGAATAACAAACGCCCAGACGAAGATGGACACGTCTTCAACTGGCTACATGTAAAGAGCTTCCAATACAGGAAGGAAGAGCAAGGCACCATCTGCTACCATCTATAGCTACTTGGATGACTACAAGAAGATAGATCATCAGTTCCACGTAATCTGGACCTTGTCTACCAAGAGAAGCATTAAAAAAAAAAACTAAACCTTAAGAAGAAGGATCTCTTCAACTTGTGCAATAGCCTAGCTATTCCTGAAAAGTTCCATGGATGGTATTTGGCACTCCCATTTTGTAAGTTTTTGACATTGACAGGGTCAAAAGGTCATGGCTTCCATGCATGATGTTTGACCAAGTATTATTCATAAGTTAATGGCATTGAACATAACTACTTCATTTTGTCAGATTTAATGCTTGCAATCAAACTTTCAAATGCATTTTTACTCAAAATGACATATTTGGACGTAGACAGTTGTGGTTTTAAGCCCTCAATCTATTGTTTTATTTCTAATGTATTCTTTTGTTCTGGAATACATCAAGTTACTTTGAAAAACGTATCAAAGCAATTTGATATCAATTCATATCTCCCACTTATACATCTATTTACCTGTATTCACATTTCTGCTTGTACATGGATATATGCAATTGTAGCACTTTTTGATGATATGCGCATACTAATTGCTATGTAACACCTGACAGGTGTATCCAAATTCGATGAAAATGGTATCAAAATGTGCGTAAGACTTGAGGAAAAAAATTCAAGAACAACAATTTAAAATTCCAAGCGGTTGCGGCGCTTTCTCCAAAAATGTGGGGGGGGGGGGGGCTCTTACGCCACCCCCCCCCCCCCAAGTACAGTAAGGATTAAATGATGTTAGCCATATTATTATAAATATGCATTTTTTAAGATGCTTACATATACATGTAAAGTGTTAAAGGGCAAGTCCACCCGCAAATAAGTTGATCTTCATACATGTAAAGTGTTAAAGGGGAAGTCCACCCCAAAAATAAGTTGGTCTTCATAAAAGCAGAAAAATTAGAGAAAAAAATCAATGAAATTTTGAGGAAAATCAAAAAGAAATGAGAAAGTTATGAATTGTTGGAGTTGTAATCAGTGAAGCACAAATTGGAAACTGTGACATCACATGCGAGCTCATATCTCATTTGCTTTGTACACAAAATGTTTTTTTTTTTAAATTTCCTCAGTCGTTGATTAAATGAATACGATAACATGAGCGTTAAACCAGTGATCAGTAATAACATCTATCTGAAAGATGAACGAGGGTAATGCTTTTCACCTACTAACAGTAATACCGTTCAAGGTGATAGCAGTAGTAAAGGTAACGGACACACTGATTATATTTAATATTAGCAGTGACAATGGAAATGTTTGATTTATATGACATTTTTTTTATCACCATGTGTAGGTATTGAATATCTTCAAAATTTCTACCATTTCAGAGAACTTGGTTTAGTGAAGACTGGGTCTTGGCGAGTGTCTTTGATATGTTAAGGGAATTGAGGACAAATGATGTAATACCGGAGTTGAAAGATGAGTATGAATATGACATACTGCACCGTGAGAAGTTGGTGAAGTCATGGAAGTTAGCCCAGGAAGCCTTAAAAGGTGCTGCAGGAAAATACAAGAAGTGTTAGGATATGAATGCTAGAAAAAGGAAATTTAATATCGGAGATCAGGTGTTGATCTTGCTTCCCACTGATCACAACAAGTTGTTGCTGAAATGGAAGGGTCCATTCCCTGTGCTGGCGTAAAGTAGACTATGACTACATTGGCAGTGGTGTTCTTAAGACATATCACATTAATCTTCTCAACAAATAATTTCCCAGGCAGAAGGTTAGCTTTGATTTGTGTACAGAGAGTATGAAAGTGTGTCAGGATTCTGTGGAAGATGCCGAGGATCAGTTGTTTGTATTGAAGGCAAATGTGGGTGCTGGGCTTATGCAGTAACATTCAGGAGAAGAATTCCTGATTGCTTATGCGAGTAAGAAGTCATTATAACGGGAAAAAAATTACACAACAATAGAGAAAAAGTGCTTAGCAATAGTACGAGCAATCAAAAAGTTCAAATATTATTTGTATTGAAGTGCACATAGACCACAAACCTTTGGTCTATATTCAAGCGAAGAGGTTTGACAATAAGAGAATCATGAGATGGAGCATGATGCTCCAAGATTACAGGTTTAGGCTTGTATCGATGAAGGTTCAGTATAATGTTACAGCAGATTATATGAGCAGAATGTAAAATGCACTATACTCATGGATTTCTTTTGTCTGTCTACCATTGTAAATTATTGGATGGGTATCACGGTTTAATATATTTTGTTAATGTCATTTGTTGAATACATATTGCATTTACCAGGATTATGTAATGTTGAGATTTATTTTATATTGATCTTGCCAGCCACAAATGTATAAACATCAAACTTTCTATGATAGCACATACAAAATTATTATCCTGAGCATATGTTTTGTAGAAATGCATGAAATCCACTACTGAAGTTTGATATGAAGAAGAAAATATTACAGCAATATATACGCATTGTAGTTCATGCAAGTGCAGGAATATTACTCACTACATTTTGAACAGAAAAGACAGAAAGAGATGATAATTAGACAGCCACCTAATGTATCTAAATATATCAGAGAGGGCTTAATGATGCTGAACAAAATGGCCCGAATTCACAAAGGAGGTTTGTCAACCTCCTTTTGTTTCGACAAACCTCCTTTTGTTATTTACAAACCAGGTTTGTAAAAAAAACGCGTCAAAACGCGTCATAGGACGTACATAAACCTCGGTTTGTCGACAAACCTCCTTTGTGAATTCGGGCCATTGGATTGTGCTCTTTAATGCCGGATAAATGTTTAATTTTGAGTCAAAGACATTGTCTTCAGGTGATGATGTGAACATTTGATAATCTCTACTTTGTATTAACAGGTTATATACAAACTCTATGGACATTAACGTATAGCCATGTTATAGGTTTTAAACTTTGTGCAGAATATGTCAAACATATTTATACATGGATTGTTTTTATGCTAATTATCCCACAGCATGATATTGTTGTGCTATGTTGGCATTGTTTTTAGCAAAGGTTTTATTCAAAGGTGTTTGTAGACTTATAACCATGCTTAACCTTTTCCATGATATTAACGTTCTGAGGTACGGGTGCTATATAATATCATTTAAAAAAAGAAAAATCCGATTATTGGAAACACGTTTTAGTAATTGCATGTGCAAATTTTCAACTCAAATACAAGGGAAATTTAATGTATCTAAGCCTTATGACTTGATAAAAGTAAGAATGTCATATTATTTATTGTACATTATAAAACTTGGTTGATTAAACCATAGGTTGAGAACTGAGATTTCTGGATATACAACTTTGGCAAGACATTGATCTACATTTGCCACACTACACCCAGGTGAAGTAAATGGGTACCTGGTAGGAATTTATTCTTTGAAATGCTAGAGCGCCGTATGGCAGCCGTGCTAAACCCAGGGTAATAATCGGGAGCGCCAGGAGGGTCAAATCTGACTGAGATGAGCGCTATACAAGAACCCACTATTATTATTATTATTATATTGACTAGGATTGGTATTTAGTGATATGAGCTATGTGGTGTCATGATCTCCTGATATCATGTAATGGTTGATAAGATGAAGAATGTTATGTTTGACTTTAAAGTTTTACCTTGATAAAGCTTAACTGATAATTTATGTGCAGTAAAAATTGAAACAGTTTGTTCCAAACATTTTCATGAGATATGTAGTAATTGTATTGATTTGTGTATGTTGTACTGTTTTATAAGTATATATCTAGGAATGTGAGAAGGAAGCTCAGTACCTAGGAATTATTTTTGAAAAGAATATTTTTGTTTATGGTAAAAGTTGTCATGATGACTTTCAATAAGATGATGACTTTAAATAAGAAGAATAGATTTTATCGACAAAAATTGAGAAACATCCAAAGACATAAAAGAGGGAGAACGAGAGCCAGAGGCTGGAAAGGGGGAGGGTAAAAGAGTAGAGAAAAGGATCGAGAGACAGAGCAAGAGAGGGAGAGGCTGAAAGAGTAGAAAGAGAGGAGAAAAAAAGCGAGATGTGAGTAGATAGATATATAGAAAGAGAAATTTATTGACATGTAAACAATTCTTTGTCCGTGGGAGCTAGAGACGTAAACATTGCGTATACATGGGCTGAATAACTGAAAATAACTCATCGTAGATAAAATTGTCATTTTATGTATTAATGCTTTTATAATTAGCACAGTCATGACAGGGAACATGGAAATTGTGAGTATTTTGAGAGCTGTTCTAAAGAATAAAGCTGATATTCTTTGCAACGAGAATATATTTTTGACGAGCCGAAGGCGTACAATCGCCGGGTTAGAGTTATGGTTAGGTTAGGGTTGGGTGGTTATAAAAGCATAATTAATACATCAAATGACAATTTTATCTGAGATGAGAGATATTAGATCATGAAATCATGAGGAGAAAAAAAGTTGGTCGAGCTGTCGCCCGAAGCATCCCACCCTGGACAAGTCGACCTGGTCTGGTCGAGTTGTCCAGGGGCTTTGGGTCGGGTTGTTTAGAATTCCAAAATACATAGGATTCCCAAATCACATCTTGTAGTTAGAATATCGCCATGATCCCAACATCTGATTTTAAAAAAAAAATTGTGACCTTAAGTGTAGAGAATTTTCAGCGACAAAATATTCGAAGGTGGCAGAAAATCGAGAAAAAAATAATCCAGATATTGCTCAAACAAGACTGGAATGTACAATGCAGATTTCAGAAAAAGTCACCTCCCAGCATAGGCATATGACACGCAAATTAAGAAAATTCTGACATGTCGCATTTAATCGAAATTTTCACTATGATGACGTCATCAAAATGAAAAATGTTGAGATATAAATATAGAGAAGGAAAAAGGAAGACGGTTATGGTCATGTAAAAATACATGAGCTGCCAGTGGACCGAGGGATGAAAGAGGAATAAGAATGCATACCCTTGGAAGGAGAGAGGATAGTATAACGAAACATGGTAGGGGTGAAATAAAAATACAAAGGGAAAAAGAAAGAGCTAGAGGAAATTAAGGAACATATCCTATAAGACATAAAAGAGGGACGGGAGCCAAAGGCGGGAAAAGTAGAGGGTAAGAGAGTAGAGA